ATATATATATATACACACACCACATCTTCTTTATCCATTCATCCATCAATGGACATTTGGACTCTTTCCATAATTTGGCTATTGTCAGTAGCCAATGAACATCCATTCATCCATATATCCATCCTGTAGTATAGTAGATAATATGCACCAAGAATAGGTAAAGCATTTTTGCCCTGTAGGAACTCGTAGTCAGCTAGCTCAAACATTTTATGTGTGAAACCTTCCTTAATATCCTACTAATCATTTAAGCAGCATTAATCAGTCCTTTCTTTTGATTCCATAATCCTTTGTTCATCCAGGTAGCCATTATTTAATTGTGTCTACCATGTACCTTGTACCCTGTTAGGAAAGCACACTGGAGTATAAGGTTCAATAAGAGACAGCCCTTGCCCTTAAAGTACTGAGTCTAGAAAAGAGGCACACCTATGACTACAATACATTATTGAAACAGTGAGACAATAGAGATAAGTAGTAGTGCAAAGAAGAGTGGAGATGAACAGTGTAGCCCCATGCTGGACATGAAGGTGGTTAGAAAGCCCATGACTGAACTGTTGAGAACATACTGACAGCATGAGACAAAAACTAGGAGGCACTCTCTCCTGCTGACACCTCTGTAATAGGACATCTCCTATTTTATTATGGTTACTTTTCTAGGTTTGTCCTCCCTGTAGACTGTTTGCTCTTTGAGATTGGGCATTATGTTTTATTTGTCTTGAGATCCTCCCTGCACCTATCATAGCAGCGGGCATATATTAATGACGCAGAAATGCTGAAAAGGAACAAATGAGTTGTAGAGAAAATAGTGAAACCGAACTGAATGATGAAGGCAGTGGAATATGGATATCCTTAAAAATCAACTCTGAAGCTAGAAACAGACAGCCCCCTATGAGAAAGCAGCATATTATCTTGGCAAGGCCATACAATCACTATTCTAGAAAATATTTCAGTGGTTTTTAACTCTCAAAGCTGTTCTCAAGATGTGCCAATCATGAGAACATACTGATATCTAATGATTGACAGTATTAAATTCAATAACAAGTGTTTCTCAAGGCTCATTGTAGCATTAAAATAATAGTCTGTTGTTCTAAGACACATCCTGGCAGAGGGGAACCATGTCCCTAGGTTTGAAGCAGAGCAGAGAAATAGCTTTTGTCCCAGCAAAAGCCATAACATCTGTATGGTTGCCTTCAGCACACAGACTTTCATGTACATCATGAAAAGCAGCTGCGACTTCAGATCAAAGGAGAGCCTTGTGCCCCTGTTTGGGGGCAGGGACCGCCAGTCCCTCATTAGTCTCCTGAGGGAAACTGGTATGAACAGAGGGTGACACCAACTGACTCATCATCTCTGGATGCAGATGTATATTTAAATCAGTCTCTGGGGGCAAAGGCAGCATGGTGGTGGAATGTGTCCGCACCTGGGAATGAGAAGGTCTGGAGTCCGAGCCCCAGCTTTGTGAGTAACCAGTTAAAAGGTGGAGGGCAGGCATAAACTTGCCTACCTCACTGGGTTGTTGTAAAGATTAAAGGAGACCTGTAATAAATATTTGAATGTTTGGGGTGCCTGGGTGGCTCAGTCAGTTAAGCGTTTGATTCTTGATTTCAGCTCAGATCATAATGTCATGGTTTGTGAGTTCGAGCCCCTCATTGGGCTCTGCACTGATGACATGGAGCCTGCTTGGGATTCTCTCTCCCTCTATCTCTGTCCCTTCCCTGATCATGCTGTATCTCTCTCTCTCTCTCTCTCTGAAAAAATAAACAAACATTTTTTAAAAACCTATTATTACAAATAAATGATTTGAGTGTGTCAGGCGTCATGAGGAAGAATTACAGGGTGGGGTGTGGGAGGAAATATGTGGGGATTGGAGGTTGGGTATGGGCAACCTGACCTAATCTGAACATTCCAGAAGGTGTTCCCTGAGGAAATGATGTTCTCTTAATGGGAGTGAATGCCTTTTGTGAGATAAGGTTTATGCATTTAGAAGGGAACATTCTTACTATTGCTGATGTTATTCCTCAAGGCCTTGTGCATTGTTCTAGAGAGCTGTTCTCTTGGCAGCCTTCTCTGTGCAGAGAAATCCAGGGAGACGGGATGTTTACTCTCTTCTTTGTTATTAGAAAATGTGAACTTTCAGTAGGCTTGCATATTACTGATTCCTTTTTCTAAAGAAACTACTGAAACCCAGAGATTAAGTGACTTGTCCAAGATCTCAGTGCTTCAAAGGGGTGGAGGGAAATTATTTTCTCTATCCGCCATGGCACTGTTTCTGTTTTCATTAACAAAGATAATATCTTAATAGATGCATTGAATTTTGAACTGGGAAAGGTGGTTGAGGTTGGATGTTCTCCTGCTTCAGTTGCTGACTGAAGTGCCAACTATCATAGAATGACAGTCTGCCCTGTATCCTGATGTTTGTAATATGTTGTTGTGGTCAAGAACATGAACTCTGGGACCACAAAGCCTGCTTAAATTGGCTCTGGAATATACTGGCTGTGACACCCTGAACAAGTTATTTAATCTCTCTGTGCCTCAGTTTCTTCGTGTGAGAAATGGATATGGTAATAGTACCTACTTCATCGAGTTGTTACATGTAAAATGCCTAGAGCTTGACACATAATAAATGCTCAGTAAGTTTTTTTTAAAAGGATAAAAGAAATTCTTGGGTAACAAAACAAATGAAAAGCCTAAAACAAAAAAACAAAGCAAGCCCCTCTCCCTAACCAGGCATACCCAACACATTAAAAAAAAAAAAATGTGCATTTTTTTTTTTTAAGGGCAGAAAGCAACCATGAAGTTGAGTGACGTGTTTCCATTTCTAAACCAAAGCAAGGCAATACTTTCTTTTCTGCTTCTCCAACCTGATCTTTCTCTTACGTTTTTACAGCTTCAGATCTGGGACACAGCAGGTCAAGAGAGATTTCGGTCCATTACCCAGAGTTACTACCGAAGCGCCAATGCCTTGATCCTCACCTATGACATAACCTGTGAGGAATCCTTCCGTTGCCTTCCTGAGTGGCTGCGGGAGATAGAACAATATGCTAGCAACAAGGTCATCACTGTGCTAGTGGGTAAGTAAGGACTAATGAAGAGGGAAATTGGTTTGTGGCCATCAGAGAATTTATAATCACATAATACTTATGCCTGGTATCTTCCAGTAATATAGTCTACAGCTATATAATTCATGCAGTCAACATTCAGTTTCTCCTGAGGTTGAAGAGAAAATGAAATAGGTCATATCCCAAGGTGATGGTTTAGAAAAGTAAAGTAGAAAATATTGCTGATTGATTTTTCTGTCAATGAAGGCTCTAGGGAAGAAGGTGGACTGCCATGAGATTTATGTGGTCTGCTAAACATTAAAAAAAATCTAGTTACAAGATTGTGGAAACTGCTGGTCTAGAAGTAAAACATGTCTTGACAAAGAATTTGTTTTTAAAGCAATTGTTTATTGCCTAAAAAAATGGACTTTGGGTAATTTTTTCTCTTCTTACATTCATGCTGACTTGAAAAATTCTAATTTCAGAAAGAATCCACTAAAGGAAATTCTGCACTTTGTTTCATCTTGTAAGAGGGTAGAACCTGTTTAGCATGAGGGAAAAGCAGAAAACAACCCATGATTTTCTTTTGTGACAAATACACCCATTAGAAAAGGAATTGATGGTTAAAAACTCCTCTTGTGGTGATGAAAAATGTTAATAATATATGGCTGTTAAAATGTTTACTTCCTAAAAAGGAACATCACTATATATTCTAGCAAGACTTGAATTTTGGAAATCAGGGTAGAGAATCTCAGAAACATTGTTAAGTTACAAATTATGGTTAACAATAAGCTAAGTAAATACTTCTGTAAGCATTATAGCTAGCATACATGTGCCAGGAATCATATCAGAAAATTTATGCGTGATGATTCGTTATTTATATACAAGGAAACCAAGGCTCAGAAAGGTGAAGCTCTTTGCCTAGGGTTGCACAGCATGTAGGATCAACTTCAAACCCTGTATTTGTCCAGCTGTAATGTTCTGCTTTATAACAAATTGCTGGACTTTTCTTTCAGGCTGCTGGGTTAAGTATCCACCTGTCTATGAGCTAGTACTCTATGCCCATTCCTGAAAACCTTCTTGCACATTGGAGAATGTCTGTCATGAAGCACTTGAAAGCACCCGTCTCAGGACTTGGGCTTTCTTTCTATTTGACAGAAAGCCCTTGAGAACTTGAGCCAAAGCATTATTCCTTGGGATTCTGTCTAAAGAAATTAAATGGAAGTTTGATGGGAAATAATTAGTCCACTCAGTATGAAAGAGGCACTGGCTTAAAAAAACAAACAAACAAAAAACCTTTTTATTCTTGAAAATTTCAAACATAAGCAAAAGTAGAGAAAACAGTATAATGAACTCCCATGAACACATCTCAGCTTCAATGATTATCAACTTACGGTCAATCTTATCTGTTCCCCCTCTTTTCTGTCTGCCCTTCCCTTCAGATTATTTTGAAGCAAATTCCAGATCTTCTATTAATATATCTTTCATTAGTTCAATGAATATCTTTAAAAGATTTTTTGAGAAAGAGAACCTATCCACAATGCCGTTTTCACACCTAAAACATATTAACAGTTCTTGAATAGCATCAGAAATTTAGACAATGTTCAGATCTCCTTGATTGACTCCTACATTTAAAAAAAAAAAACTGTCCACATCAAAGATCCCAATAAGGCTCATATGTTCTAATTGATTTTTGTGTCTTTAAAAAAAAATTGTTTTATGTTCATTAAGTTTTGAAAGAGAGAGAGACAGAGCATAAGCAAGGGTGGGGTAGAGAGAGAGGGAGACACAGAATCTGAAGCAGGCTCCAGGCTATGAGCTGTCAGCACAGAGCCTGATGTGGGGTTCAAACTCACGAACCGCAAGGTCATGACCTGAACCGAAGTCAGACGTTCAACTAACTGAGCCACCCTGGCACCCCGATTTTTGTGTCTTTTAATTCTCCTTTTATATGTTAGTTATCCCTCCATTTTTCTGCCTTGGAATTTATTTGTTAAAGCATATGTTAATCCTCCAGAGTTTCCATGTCTGAATTTTGCTATTTCACCACTATAGTGTCATTTAACATGTTCCTCCATCACCTGTATTTCCTGCAGATCTGTAGGTAAATTTAGAGGCCTGATCAGATTCAAGTTTTTTTGTTTTTTTTTCTTAGCGAATATACTTCCTATTTGATATTCTGAGGTACAGTTCTCATAGGACAGCTAAGAAAAAAATTTGATTGTCTCTTTTTTATTTCCCAATTTTAAAATAATGAGTTGGTTCCCTATTATCTTCCAAAAGTCACTACGGAAATTTTATATTTTTAGTATTATTAGAGATTTAAATATATGCAGTATTTTCTAGGCTCTTGCAATTGTAATTATTGAAGGTCCAAATGTTCCAACTGTGGAGCTGCTTCAGATGGTCTCCTGAGTCCTTTTGACATGACCTCACTTGCTTTCTGGTTTAAGGGTTCCAGGCACAACCAGCGCATTTCCTTCCCCGGACCTGGAATTAGCCATTTTTTCAAGACACACATTTATTATTAATGGCAAATTATATTTAGAGGCCACAACCAAAGTGATAAGAATCTTCTGTACTAGTAGCTGGTCATTGTTTTTAGGCTTTTCAGTGGACAGAACTAATGTGTGTGTGTGTGTGTGTGTGTGTGTGTGTGTGTGTGTGTGTGTGTTGAATTCTATAGCACTCACAGGGGGTTGTCTCTTAGGCTCCACTAAGCACTTTTATTCACAAGACTACTATAGGCCATACTTGGCAGGACATTCATTTAGAAGGATTCAGAACAGGAAATAACAGCTTAATAGTAGGTCAGCATCAGGCATTACTCTTCAGTGGAAGTAATCCTCAATAGCAGTCCACATAGCTGTCCAGGGCCTTCCGGACAGTTCAGGTGAGGAAAAAGACTCATGTCAGGCACATGATGGGCCTGCCCTGGCCTAGAAGCCTCAACAGGAGCCAGTCTCTCTTGTAACAACTCTACAAACCTGACTTTCAGAGTCTCTTCAAGTGAGGAATCACCACACTACGGGAAGCCCAAAGTTGTGGTTTCCCACTAGATATGTATAATTCATATGTACAATTCCCAGGCCAGATGGAATTTGACCTGATGATAAAAGGTCACTTTTATCATAAGCTGTGTTGCCAGGTAACATGGTTGACATATCACTTTTGTCAGGTTTCCAGGAGAACAGAGGTAGAACATTTTTTAATGATAAAATCCATCATGAATTATTCACACTGATACTTGCATTTATAATTCAGGACTGTACAAATTTTACTTAACCTCATTAATCTTTTTTTAATTAAAAAAATTTAATGTTTATTTTTGAGAGAGAGACAGAGTACAAACAGGGGAGGGACAGAGAGAGAGGGAGACACAGAATCTGAAGCAGGCTCCAGGCTCTGAGCTATCAGCACAGAGCCTGATGCGGGGCTCAGACTCCCAAACCATTAGATCATGACATGAGCTGAAGTTGGATGCTTAATTGAGCCATCCAGGTGCCCCTTTAACCTCATTAATCTTATATCTCTTTTTCCTTTTTCCCATGCCCAAGTCACAGGACCATGACACCAACACAATTACTTATTTGCTTTATCCTCTAATACCCGTATAGCAGCCACAGAATAACAATACTCACACTACCACCGACAGGACGATTACTACAAGAGTTCAAGGGTTTTTCCTTCAACTCTTTTTGTCCTTAGGGTATATACCACTGAGGATACATGGTTAAAATACCAGAGAAATAGTTCCTCTCTGTGTGGTTACACCATTTCATGATAAACAGGTTCATTTGTTTCATATTGCTTTCCATTCTTAGGGATTGCTTTTTAAATTTAATTTTGTATTAATTATATAGTTTTAATTGTACAATTATGTGAAACATTTCTAAGATTCTGAAGTCAAATCTATTAGACAAAGTGTAGAGACATCTAGTTTCTATCCTTTCCTATCTCCCCAACTTTGCTCCTTTCATGAGTAACCATTATCTTTAAAATTAAAATGTTGGCTTATTCTAACATTAAAAAAAATAGGGGCGCCTGGGTGGCGCAGTCGGTTAAGCGTCCGACTTCAGCCAGGTCACGATCTCGCGGTCCGGGAGTTCGAGCCCCGCGTCGGGCTCTGGGCTGATGGCTCAGAGCCTGGAGCCTGTTTCCGATTCTGTGTCTCCCTCTCTCTCTGCCCCTCCCCCGTTCGTGCTCTGTCTCTCTCTGTCCCAAAAATAAATAAACGTTGAAAAAAAAAATTAAAAAAAAAATTAAATAAATTAAGTCTGTAAGTGTGCCCGTGTGTATTTTTTTTACATCCCTTTTGCTTAAGCAGTTGTATATTATATACCTTTTTTATACTTAGGAAAAAGTAGAACAGTATAGCAGGTATACGCTTAACAGTATATCCTAATGTCTCATTCCATGGCAGTATATAGAGATATTCCTCATTGCTTTCTACAGTGGCAAATAACTGCATTGTGTGCATGTGCCATACTTCATCAAGCCAGTGGCCAACTGGTGGTCATTTGCGTTTCCAGTTATTTGCCGTTACACACGACACTGATATTTTAAAATAAACATTCTGGTAATCACAGCCACATTTGCTCTGCTTTACTTGCCCATCTGTCTGATTTGACTTCAGATTTGAAATTACATTTTGATGCCTCTGAGCCTGTAAAAAGTCAAGTGATGGTTCCTTCTCTGATTTATCCCTGTTCCAGGCAATAAGATTGATCTGGCTGAAAGGAGAGAGGTCTCCCAGCAGAGAGCTGAAGAATTCTCAGAAGCTCAGGACATGTATTACCTGGAGACCTCGGCCAAGGAATCAGATAACGTGGAGAAACTATTCCTTGACTTAGCGTGCCGCCTCATCAGTGAAGCCAGGCAGAACACGCTTGTAAACAATGTATCCTCGCCCTTGCCTGGAGAAGGGAAAAGCATCAGCTATTTGACTTGTTGTAATTTCAACTGAAGGCTGATGCAAGGAGAAGCGAAAGGAATCAGCAGCTGCCCTGATGGGCCCTGAATTGCTGGGCAGATCTGGTGATGACTGTGGCTCCCGCTCTTAGACCCTCTGACTCCTGTGGGATCCAGGGCTTACACAGCATGGCAGGCCAAAGGCTTTGTCCACAGGCCAGCATTAGCAGAACATACAATGGTTTCACCCTTTCGCAGTCAGGAGTTGGAGCAAGGAGAAAATTGCGCTAGACGCTCCATGATCTGCAGAGCATGTTGCTTTTGTTCTTTTCAAAAAGCAAGTAAAAGCGCATTCCTGAACACAGTCCAGGGGGAAATGTACTGTAGGGACCCCTCCTGCACGTCAGTGGGTGCATGTGGGGGCTGTTCTTTAGGGCTTCTGGGGGCCCTGGTTTTCTTGTCTACCAGATAAACCAAAACTGGGAAGGCCAAGTACTGTCTTTGTGGTGCGTGTTGATGACTCCACGGAGACTTTGAAAAGTGTTATTTCTCTTGTCCACAGGCACTTTCAAGAACTTTGGGATGTAAAAATAAAACCTTTACCCCATGACCAACAGTAACAATCATTGGTTTAATAATATATACAAGCCCCATGACTCCTTCTGGTGCTAATGATTCTGCTCTTTCACAGACCAAACATTTTAGTACATTGATGTCCTTAAATGTATTATATTGAAATAAAAAAAAAAATAATAATAAGGGAAGTCCATGAATCAGCACTCTTTCTCAAAGTCTCCTTACTACCTTTTCTAGGGTAGATTTGTTGGAAAATAAAATACTATTCCTTTCATGTTCTTTCCCCTCGAAATCTCTACCATTTTATTCTTCTCTTCTCCCATCTTTCCTGCCCTTTAAGTAAATGAAAACACTAGAAAAATGAAAAAAAAATGGTTGATGATATTCTAATAAAAAAGACTATCTCTAAGACATTATGAGTAGTATGAGAAAACAGACCAGATCTGACCAAAATACTGTGGATTAATGGACTGCAATGCAGAGTTCTAAGCAGAGCACAGTCCTTGATAGCAGGTGACATCTTTTACTTCCTGGTACTATCCATCTTGGACAGACCAAGGCTTAGAATTTTGTACATGTTTTTAGTATGATAAGTGACAATAGCAACAGATGAAAAGTCTCATGAACCATTTTTGTATTGTCAAGAACCTTCGACAGATTCTGCTTGTGGAAGCAGGTGGAGCTGTCTTTTGTCACCTCCTTCATGTAGTGATGTTACTCTCAGACTCACGACCATACGTTCTATCTTATTTCCTTTCCTCTGCCTTTCTTTCCTGGTCTTCTCCTCCTTTCCTCTTTTCCTCTCTCCCTTCATATGCATGTGTTACTGCAAATCTCCAATTCAAATGGAGGTGTATATGCCTTTACTTAGCCAATTTTAAAACAAGACTCAAAGTGGAAGATGTGCTGCTGAATATGTGTTACTAATTTCTTTAGTGCCATACTTTGATGCCTTCCAATTTGTTCACCGATATAAATGCAAATTGGGGAAATAATTAAACCTGTATGCTGTTGATGCTGTCAGATGTTTCTATAGCTTGCTGCTTAGCATCACTGAGGGCTGAGGAATGGGATAAGGATATGATATGCAATTCTGCTGTTGTTGTCGATGGTGGCAATCTCGGTCCTGATATGTTGATATTTGAAAGCTATTTAATTTTAAAGAAATGAGACACGTGGAGACATGATGTTGATAAAGCATTTCCAGCATTTCTCCAGCAGATTTCAGAGTGACTCATCTTTTGTATAGAGATTATATACATTGTTTAAGGGGTTGATACCTTTGGTTGGCCTCACTGTGTTTGTCCTGGTCCTCTGCATGACAGAAGGAGATCTCAGAAGTTTAAATTGCTTTTATTTTGAATCTGTGTCTACAGGAAAGAAAAATCATTTTAATAAACACCAACCAAAATCAGTGATAATTGTTGCTTTTCCCTCCCCATTTCTCCACTAAGCCAGCAACAATAAAAGTATTCAGAAAACAAGCTGATCAAAGTGGGCAGAAGAACTTCTCTTTTTAAACTGTGAGGAAGTATCCCTAAGTGTAGATTTATTGTCTTTCATTTAGGGCAAAAATCTAATTAATATCCCACATCATGACCCCACCTTAGCAGCAAGTGTGTTGAAACTGAAGCTGCTTTGAGAACTCAGATAGGACTTTGTTAGATTGGGCAAATTTGGTCATAAAACAACAGTTTCTAGGGCTACTTTTGCATCTGAAATTCTTCTTCCTTAGGGCTCAGTATTCTCTGTCCACCCGTGGCCATACTCATAAATAAGGGGATTAGAAAGTTCTGCTCTTGGGCCTTTCCTTCCCTGTTACTTCTCCTAGCCTTTCCGTATCTTACAGTCACCCATCCATGGCCCATAGTGGAGATGCATGAGAATTTGAAGCTTTTCTCCATGCCCCGACCCCTAGTTGTGTGAAGGCCTTATGGACACTTGCTCACTGACACATTTCAAGTTTGAGAACAATCCCTGACAATATTGTAGGTGCTCAATAAAAGCTGAATGAAGACTTTGTGCCAAGTGGAGCTTTGCCAGTGAAATAGAAATTTCTCAAATAGAACTTGAGAAAGGGTCGTAATGAAACGTGGTTATCTTAACCTAGACCAAGACCTAAACTTACTGGTTTGCTTACTAGTTGTTATTGCCATGGCAACATTTGCTAAGATGAGCCTTCTTAAATAAAAATGAATTCTTATTTAATGGTGGATGAAAGAAAGAGTGCTTTCTCATTAATTTAGTTTGGCTTGGTCTGACTCACACTACCAGAGTCCGTGTCCACTTGCATTTTTGCTGTAATCTTTTTCTTCTTTTAATAAAGTTACTAAATATATGGCAAAACTTTTTTTCAATTTCCAGTGAAAACACATCATATTCATGTTATGGAGTCAGGTTTGGGAAAATCTGAAATCTAAAAGCTTGCTGATATTAATGATATTTTATATGGCTTTCTATAGGCTGCATCCTCAAAGGATTTTGTGTTTTTTCCTTTACCTACATAAGGCTTTTTATTTCTTTATATGCTTTTATTATTTCTAATGTATTAATATTTAATATTGATTTTGCGGGGCCACTTATCCTTTCTGTGGATTAGAGTAGGCCATTAGCTCTCCTGGCCTTTCTTTTTTCCTGTCTTTTCTAGTCATTTCATGTTACTATCTCTTCCTGAGTAAAGCAGCAAGAATAGAACTAGAAATGAAAGTCAAATGGATTGATTTGACAGTGTGTCAATTTCTGAAAGAAACATGAAAACCACTGGCCAAAATAATATATCTGAGTTAAGGTTATTTATTTTAAGCAATTTAGATTTGTTGGAGAGAGGAGGCAGAATCTGACAGAGGACTGGATTCTATTTGTGAATGTATACCTTTGGAGGACACTGGTGACTTCCAGGGTTAGGTCAATGATTTGTCTCATTTACCTTCTTGGCTATTCCACAAGCCTTCCAGATTAAGCATCAAATTTCAGCTAATGAATCATTCTGAATAGATACCAGTTGCAAGTGATTTTGAATTGCTCTTCTGACTAAAGTGAAAACATCTTTTTTTAATAAACTAAGCCACATAAGATATCATCTTGTAACCAGAAAAAAAACCCTTTCATTTTCTCCCCCCACATATCAAACCAATGGCTTTAAAGATAGACATTTTCTGTTTCTTAATCCTGCAAAACTTGTTACCTTTCATAGCTGTTAGTACTTTAGGGAATACTGCTCTATTAGCTTCTGGAAGAGCTCTTCTAGGGTTTGCCCTTTGTTTTCTTTAGAATTTTTTTTTTTTTTTAACTCCAACTGGTTCCTTACTCTCCTCAACGATGGTCCTGACAGATGTGTTTTAATGCAACTATAATACTTTTGAGACTTAACTAAAAATTCAAAAACAGTAAAAAGACATGTTTATCTCATCGTTCAGACAAACAGTACTCCACATAAGCAATCAGGTTGAACACTAATTTTGGGATAAGAGAAAGATGTGCTTTCTTTTCTTTTTTCTTTTCAAATTTAATTTCTGTCCCATGAGTGTATTTGTGTTTAAAAGGAAAGCTGCCTTCCCTTACATTCGTCACACTATGTAGAAAGCACACTGAATTAAGAAATTATCATCCCTTCAAACAATTAATACAGTGATGTTAGAACAAGAGAGATGACGGTTCATCTTTCCTAAGTCTATTTATTACATTGGAATGCTACAATCATTTTTGAGAGCTATACTTTGAAATTAAAAACAAATTGAGGCATAACAAAGATGGTGAAGGAATTTAAAATTTAAGACATTTGAAGAATATTTGAAGGATTTTTGGAAATTTAGCCTGGAAAAGAGAGGAATACGGTTAGTGAATTAGAGCAAGACTCTGGTTCAGAGGGGTAGAATGAGGCCTACTGATTAAGAGCCATAGGACCACAGATTTGGGCTCTATGTCAGGGAGAACTTTCTCAAAAAGATGGTTGACCATGAAAGGCACTGCCTTAGGTAATAGTATCTGTCAAGCAGAGGCTAGATAAGAACTTGGTGAAGATGATGTGGAAAGGATCTCAGCATTAGTTGGAGGTTGGACTAGATGACTTATTAACTTATTAACATAATTCTATGTTCTAGCACTTTGTCTTTCATATCATGTTCAGTTAAGTATCTTTTGACCCACAGCTAATGATTTTTTTTTAAAGGCTTTGCTGTTCTGCCAGTCCGGGAAGGAGGTTGGTTACATGTTGTTAAGCTAAAAGACTGGCTTGTCGTTGTGCTCGAGGGATTGCTTTGTCAGTCCATTCACTCATGTTCAGTTGAAATCACAAACTGGTTCTTGAGTTAAAAAGAAGAAAAGGTATTTTTTTAATAGAAGTTACATGAAATCAGGAAAATTAAGTTTTTGTCACTTGCCAAACATAGGCCATGTTCAATTTAGTGAATAACTGGTATCCAGGATTTCAAGCCAGTCCTTTTTAAAGCAGAACAGAATCTTCAGTTAAAGATCCCATAA